TTTGGATAAATTGTTGGGTCAAAATTAAACAAATAGTAATATGAGTGTTGTAAGATTTGAACTCTTATTGTGGTTATTAATCTGAATAGATTGTATTGATTTGAAAGTACAACAAAGGAGGAAGGCTAAAATCCCGAAGTGATTGTTCGATAAATTGAGGTAAGTGGATTTCTAAACTCTTGTTAAGTGTATGAAATGCGTGTATGTCTTTGTGGTATATGTTGGGAGTAACGGGATTGGTGATGGATTGACTTGCCCACATTGATTAATTCTAATGATGAAAAAAAAGGGATAATAAAAGGCAATGTGATCAATTGTTTATGTGTGATGTGTTGAGAAAGGGTTGAAGACTTGTTGAATCATTGTTGATGTGACTTCATGTTTGTGTGGTTGTGAAGTGTGCGATGTTATGAAAGTGGTCATCTCCTCATTATTTGTGTGAACTTGTCATCTGCATTATTCTGACGCATTGGTTGTCACAAGTGTTATGTGCATTGAAAAAGAATGAGTACTTAAGAGGATATACCATTTCGAGGGACGTATCGCGCGCCGCGATAGATACTATATTTCGAGGGACGTATCGCGCGCCGCTATGGTTACTATATCGAGGGTCGTGTCGTGCGCCGCGACAGATACATGGACAGATATGTCCCCCATGGGTCCCGGACTGAGAGACAGCGGGTGTGTATCACTAGGTCAGACATGCATCATTATACTTGACATTGCATTCCATTGCATTGCACATACTTACCATTAGTGAACTTGATATCGTATTTTGTTGATCTTTTGATTGCCTTTCTGCGGAACTTGTGATTGATCATTATTGAGCTTGTTATTGCGGATATATAATTTGTTGAAGTATTGTTGTTGAGGATATGTAATTTGTTAAAGTGTTGTTGTTGAGGATATGTAATTTGTCTAAGTGTTGTTGTTGAGCTACGTGCTGTGTAAACTATGAGCTGTTAGGTTGGGTTGATTTTAATGCAGGTTGTAGTTGTGGAGGTTCGGTTGGGGTGGTAGGAGTACCCGTATTTCATCCCCTTAGCCTGTGTTTAGAGGTTTACTTGCTGAGTACCGTGTGGTTTGGTACCCACCCCTTGCTTCTACAAATTTTTTTGTAGGTTATGAGCCTGGATTTTTGTTGTACTTGTTATTCTCTTCTTTTCCCAGGCTTCTTGGAGATTTGTGAGGTAGCTGTTTCCATCGCAGCAGACTTTCTTCTCCTTAATTATGATCTTGTTCTATTCTAGAAACAAGTTCATTTGAGACTCGAGTTTTTTTCTTTTGAATCAATTGTAATACTTTAGAGGCTTGTACACGTGACTACAAGGTTTTGGGGGTTTTATTAAGTTACTTATATTTTATTTCCGCACTTTATTGTAATGGTTGAGTTTTAGGCTGACTTGTCTTGGTGGGATAAGACGAGTGCCATCACGCCCATTTTTGGGTCGTGACATCTTTGACTAATTTTGATTTAATTTGGTTGATTAGGGGTTGCTCATATATTTCTTCTGATGACACTTATATTGATATCGTTCATGTATTTTCTGTTTTTATTTTGGGTATTATTTTGTTATTATTAATGATCTATTATGATATCGTTTGCTATTTTGGGTTGTTTATAACTATTTTCTTCGTTTAAAAAAAATAATTTAGTTTGAGTTGGAACGAAATTTTTAAAAGAAAATATTTTTTATTCTTGTACTTTTAAATTGAAGTTATATCAATATATCAAAATTTTTTAATTTGGTAATCTTAAATATGTTACGTGAAAATGAAAATTAAAGTATTATCTAAAAAAAATTATTCTTTTTTAAATAAATTAAAAAGGAAATATAGAAATTCTTTTAAAAGAGAAGTAGTAATATTTTAACATTTTAATGTTAGTTTTACTTTATAGTACATTTTATTATATTAAATGATGAACAAACTTCAATGTTACTCTTTCATGGTTGCTGTTTGTTATATTATATTAATTATTTTTTAATGTTACTTTTTTCTTTCTTTGTCAAATCACTGTTTTATATTTTCTATCAATTTTTTTGATATTGTTTAGTATACAATTTTTCGATATTGACTTACATATTATTTATTTTTAGATTTTTTTAGCAAAGAAAATATTATTTATTTGTTAAAATGGATCAAAGAAAAAATATCTTTATCGATTTTCGAGGCATTCACATTTTTAAGGATGAAAGTTTAATTTAAATTTATATATTTTGTATGTCAAAATTGGCCTATGAAAAGATATCTCCGTCATTTTTGGAAGTCTCCCTATTTTAAAAGACAGAAATTTAGTCTATTTTCATACTATTTTATTTGTTAAAATTTGTCGACGAAGAAATTATTGTCGATTTTCAAGACCCCCTCCCCTCCCCCCCCCCCCCGTGTTAATAAGGTGGATTTTTATTTTTAAGTTATTTGATTTATTTATTTTTAATAATATTTATTTATTACTAACACTTTTACTATCTTTACAAGTAAACGGAGCAACTTCCCGTTGAAGCTATTCGAACTCCGTTCGAATCATAATTTTTAATGCATTATTTTGTATGTATTGACGTTAGATAAACCTAAGTCGACTATTACATGATTATTTTATTTTATTATTTGTGTATATTGCATGGTGATTGTACTTGTATATTATTTTCGTCTCCTCAATTTGGAAAAATAAGTTCATTTGAGACCCACATTTGTAGATTCGAAGGGTGATTAACATCTTTCCTTAGAAATAATCTGAACTGTTACCTAGAATCTAATGGTTTAAGAGATCACTTAATGATTTTCTAGTTTTTTCCTAAAATTAGGTGACGACTCCTTTAAAAAAAATTATTCTTTAAAAACTTTAAAATTGAGTTAATCAATTATTTTTTGAGTTAGCACGACATTTCTCCTTATTTGAATAAAATAGAAATGTAAACAATAATATTGATTTATTTTATAAATTTTTTATTCCTCATCTTATAATATATATAAGGAAAAATTACATATATATACACATCTTTATTTACCATATATTCTATTATTCCCTACCATTTTAAAATATTATAAAAATTTCTTCTTTTTTCCATTACTCCAAATCACTATGATACATTACTTCAACCTTACAAATCAACGTTTCTGTTCTCCTAATTTCACTTCTTTAACCTCTCCTTATTTCACTCCCATAATCTAATCAGTTACATCCTTCATTTCAATTTGAATTTTAAATTATTTTTTTCTCTCTCCAGTCAATCAATATCAAATCACTGAATGTAGATTTCAACTTTTTCATTCTATTGATTCTTCGATTTCATCAATTTTTCGATGATCCTAAATTGACTGAAATCAGATCTAAGGTTTTCATCAACAATTGGCAATAGTAAATAATTGTTGTTCTTCATATTCTAAAGTGAGTGCTGTCATCATCCATTAGCAATAGAGAATCAATATTGTTCTTCATCTTCTAAAGTGCAAATTGATAAAAATTAAAAAAAAAGGTCGAAAATTGATTCTTGCAATTTCTTGACCTTCTTTCCATAAGGTAAGTTTTTCCATCTTTTTTTACTGATTTATGCTAGTTAATAAAAAATTATACCTTAATGATAAAATTCAAGTTTCATATTGTAATTAGCAATATTTAAGTTTATTTAATGGATACAATAAATCTTAATTTTATTCATTATTTGAGTAGCTATTGTAATTATATGAAATTATCAATATTGTAATATGCTTAGTTGGTTATCCGTCACAAGATGTCATGTCAGTAATACAAAAATAATGTTCAATGGTATATCAGTCAAAACTTAAATTATTTTCATGTCCATACAATACATTAGCATCATGTTAAATGGTGGTATATTAGTCAAAATTTGTACTAGTTTATGTTTAAGATACGTTATATATAGTTTTAATAATTATCAGATACAAAAATTTGGCTATTGATAAGCATAAATAAGTAATACCACCTATATATGTTCGTATGATTTTGTTTTGAATTATAACGTATCTTCTTTACTTTTATAATGTATCTTCTGCATTTTGAAGGGAATGCAGATTCTATATTTTATGAAATGATTTTTGATCAAATTACCTTCGTATATGATATGTAGCCATATTATGAAAGTTTGGTACTGAAAAGAACAAGGTAGAATATGTTAGTGAAAATGAAGATCCACAAAAGCCAGAGTCAATTCACAGATCATCTCAAGAGGATACAATTAATGTCGAATAAAGATTATCTATCACTTGTTAGACACATTTTTAGAGTGTTATGGTTGATAAGATACATTAACTCTAATTTTAGAGTGTTTGTTTTTACGGTTTTGAAATACTTTTTCCTACTCAAGTTTTAGAGTGTTTCTCTAAAATTTCTTGTTTATTCTGACTTTAACTTTCAATATATTTACTTGTTATTTACAGTTTGAATTGCCTTATATATTTGTCTTATATAATCTGATACAAAAATGTCATAAAATTAAATACCAGATTCATTCATGCATACACATACAAAATTCTTTTTTCTCAATAGTTGTAGCTAGTTGCTGATACATTTGACACATAACAATGCAATGTACTTGATAATTTGATTGATGATTCATTCATGTAACTTATAATTTAGTTTTAGTTAGTTGTTGATTCATTCATGCTAATACATTGAACATTATTTAATTGTAATTAGTTATTGATTCACTCATGTATGTATCTGATAGATAACTTAAATCTTAGTTATTGTGATACATTTATAAATCCAGTTTATTTAAGCTTACTTACACCCTCTTCACACAATCTTATTGTATCATTTACGTTATTATTAACTACAAATAAAAATGATACACTATATTAAAAAATGTATCTAAAACATATTGAGTGATACCATATTCACAAACATAATAGTGTATGATTATATTCTAAAATAGTTAATATTTCATATAAAGTTCATATTATATACTGAATGTAATAAGTAGAACAATGTTTCATATTTTAAAATAGTTAACATAAAACCTAACATATATACCTTAAATGAATATCAAATACATTTTTTTTATAACTATGTATCAACAAACAATTTAGATAAATTGTAGTCTAAATTATGTATCATATACGTAAAGTTGATGGTTACAACTCGATTTTAATTCTGTAATTTTTGATTAGTTCTTATGAATGTGTCATGTATAAAATTCATATTGTTGAATGAGTTGTTATATTCATAATTTTGTATCATATACAATATAGTTGATCAAAACAATTTATTAAGACGATACATTTTTATACAATTCACATTCAGATACACAATAATGACCATACCATAACCCGTAGATACAAAATTACAATACACGTCTGTCATTTATTACTAATGTATCATGACTTACTTTAGTAGTAATAAACAATCTTAGGGTTTTATGTATCAAAAAAATAAATTAAAAAATGATATATTGGTAATATGATAACACTAATTTTTTCGGAGTGTATCATGCATTTAACCAACAATTAAATGGAAGCTTAAATAATTGAAAAAACATAGAAATAAATCGAAATTCATTTATCTTGGGTGGTTAGGCTGAAAGATTAGGAGATGATACATTGCATAAAATGAAGACATTATAGTAGTAATGTATCAGATTAGTAATAACACTAACAAAGACTAATTTAAGAATAAAAATAAACGAGATACATTATAGATATGCATTTTTTGACAGTGAAGATTGTGTTAAGACAGATCCAAATTTTTCAATAGTAGACTTCAAACTCGAGTATAATCCTTTTTTTGACTTCTTCGATCTCAAATTCTTTACGATTAATAGATCGTTTTGTTGATTAGATCTATTTTCATGAAACTTTTCGTTATCTGAATCAAATATACAAGGTAACATATTAAAAAAAAGGATCATATGTATCAAAAAAAAATAGATGGAAAAACTAAATAGTTTTTTTAAAAGAAAGACAATTTAAGAATTGGGAAGGAAAAAATTAATGATGAAATAGTTCTACCTTATCCACAATGGCGGATTTGAGATTCACCAAAAAAATTATTTGTCCAATCAATTTTGCGTGATACATTGAAACCATATTTCTCAACAATTTCTTATACTTGACGATCTCGGATTGACGATTCGAGATCGTTTGTCTAATTATCTACAATGACGGATTTGATCATATTCAAGAATTTGAACTCATGGAGAATATGAAAATTATTTTTTGAATATTGTGAAGTTGTTACAGATTTGGAATATATTAATATCAATCAATTTTGCATGATTTATGGGAAAAGAAAATCAAATGAAAAGAAAATCAATTTTACATTAATATTCCATATTAAATGTACAGAAAAATTTATAATGTATCATATATAATGTATCAGGATGAAATTTATGAATCCGAACAGTAATAATTATAAGGAATTTTTATAAAATAGAAAAAAATAAAAATAAAAGGTAATTTAAAATTTTACATTATGGGATTTAAGTATAGTATATTATATATAATATTGGTTATTAAGTTAGAAGGCCAAAAAGTTAAAAGAAAAAAAAAGAACCAAAAAATTCAATCGAAGCTAGAATCTAACCCACCAGTGGTCCATAAAGAAGCTCATTCTTACATTCCTCTTCCACGTAAGCACCACCCAAGCAGCCACGTTGGCACCACATAAGGTTTCTACGTTCCAAATATATGCCAAGCACATGCCTTCCTCACTCTTCTCAATCATTTATTTAGAAAATTGTGTTATAAATTTGAAATATGCGTAAATAGTTTTCTAAAGCTAATTTAGCATGGGATCAGTACGCCCGCAGGGCGGAGCCACCTTATGTGAAAGGGTTCATACAAATTCTTTTCGGCGAAAAATTATATTATTTATACATAATTAAATTAATTTTATATGTATATATAATAGATGTCGAACCTCCTTTGGCTATATTATATGTCTAGTTCTACAAATTTTAAGTTTCTTATCAAAAATTATTGTTCCGTCTGTATACTGGTTATATATTTTTAATTTGTATTTAGTTAGTGCATATTCATTATATTGTTCCTTTAAGTATATTTTTTAGAATTTCAAAGTTGAATGTCGATGACATTTAGTTTTCTTTTGTACATATATTCTCAAATGTAGTCTATAATGTTTGTCATCTAGTTCTATATGACTTCCTTGTTATAAAATATTATAGTGTGGATGTCTAGTGCACCAAGAAGTTACTCATTATCTCCACTACTTTCCTTATGAAAATGACCATAACCTCCATAACCTCCACCTTTATAACCATTATTGTTGTAACCTTTCACTTTCATAACCTCCTAATTATATTCATGTTAATATTATATTTATTATTAACCTTTTGTATTCCTCTATGTTACACTATAAATAGAGACATAAGAGTTCATATTGTATACACTTGAAGGTTTGGTGAATACTTGAACGAAAGAAAGTGATCTTATATTGTTTCTCTTGTCTTATATTCTTCTTAATTTCATTTTTATATGTTCTTTTGTTCTTTAATTTTTATTTATTTTATTTTATTTTTTTGCTGTCTTTTAAGATCCATGTGTTTTGTTAATTACGTTAATCTCCTTTTCCAAATTAGAGAAGCGATTAATATATGCATTTTAGCTCGTGTCTAGAATGATTCACTCATTCCAAAAGAAAATCCCGCACTTTTTCCTTAT